ACATTTTACACTGTAACCTAGGACACCTTATTATTCTTTGCTTTAATGAACCAGACCAACAAATTCAGATACTGTTTAGTCAGGCAGGTAATTGCCAGCGTTTGAGTTGAACTAAGAGTAATGCTGATACCAATAAGAGTTAAAACCAGTGCTCCCAGTTTCTTTGTTTGATAGGATCTTTACTTCTGAAATTAAGGACAAAACCACCATCTAGCTATCCCTATGGAATCCTTGAGCACTGGTGAGGAAAAGTTGGAGCTTACGGTGTCTCAGAAAGGCTAGAGCCGTGTGTGGGAGTGCTGCACTGCTCGTGCTTGAAAGCATTGCTAGGTGTGTAAATATACTTCAGAGAAGAACGCTTCATGAAGTCATCTGTAGCTATGATTTCATTGAGTAAACTCACAAATTCATTCAGCTGTGAAGATTTTAACCATACCTTCTCTTCATTCAAAATAGGCAAGATTTGATACTGCAGTTCAGATCTTTGGAAATCTGGCTGTGAAGGTATACGGAAAGAACGTTTGGGGGTTTTATATCAGTTCTTCTTTTTCTTCTTTCTTATGTCAGTACGTTTTGCTTCCCAGCCTAGAAGTTTTGCTTGTATGTGAGCATTTTAAATGTATGGTAAAATTAAAACAAGCAAAGAAACCACCACAACAAAAAAAGGCCTGGTTTTTAACAACTTTTAATTAAAAGCAGTGTAAATCTGTGTTTTTCTTCTCTTACAGATCCTGAACGCTGGACAAACATTCCTTTGTTAGTAAAAATCTTAAAATTAATAATAAATGAACTCTCTAATGCAATGGAGGCAAATGCATCTAGACAGACAACTGCAGATTGGAGCCAAGGTAAAATACTGGGTTTGCTTTTTCCCTTTGCATGGCTTAAATCTACTTTGTAATCTCTTCAGAAGCATTTATAGTAATAAGAAACTCACAATAATAAATAGTATACCTGTAATTATAAAGGCTTAAATAGTGATCTAGAGGATAAGATCAGTCAGTGTTGTGCATTTTTATACCTGAAAATTATTTTGGGCCAGTTTGGAAGGTGGGATATGACTGTATGCCAATAAAATGATCCTTTCTTGCTCTCTCTGGTTTGCCTTTCTTCCTCCCTACTTCAAGCATCCATTCTCGCTGCTGCTTTGTGCGTAGCTCCAGTTCTTGAGTCGCTCATCCCAAAAGGACAGTAAAGGTTGCAGGTGGTTCCCTTCATCCAGCTACACAAGCAGGGATGTTTGCCTGAAAGCCACAGTCCCCTGTAGAGTGATCAACAGGCCGGACCTCTTGGATTTTGATTATTTCTATAATTTTTTTTTTTCCTAAACAGATGATTCGAATGATATGTGGGAAGATCAGGAAGAAGATGAGGATGAAGATGAAGGTTTAGCAGGACAGTTCTTATCAGATATTCTTTCCACAAACAAGTATGGTAAGTAGCAGCTTTAAGTGCTTACTCAAAGCGAAAATAGAGTAGATGACATCCTAGTCAAATTTTTCTTTCCTTGACAGCAGCTCGACAGAGGCTGCAGGCAAGGGGAAGGAAATCCTACACTGGGATTTTGAATAAGGACCTTTTTCTGTCAGAGGGGGACATGTCTTTGAGTAACACGGTGATTAAATAACTCCATTTTTCACCTGAGAGTTCAAACGCTGCGTAGGCTTCGCATTGCTGGGAGGTTCATGCGGGTATTTCTTCTAAAGAGAAAATTGTTGCTCAAAGACGTAGACGTGACCTTGGAGTGACAGTGTCGTAGAAGTGGATGAGCTTGTTTGGGGGGTGAGCTTGAGAAATAGTTGCTGCATGAAGAAGATGGAGCAGGTATATCATCTCCTTTCCTCTGCTCTCCACTTTGCGTATAGTCTTAGAAGGGGGAACCTGACAGGCAAGTACAATGAGGGAGGCTGCTTACGTCAGCACTGAGTTGGGACTGTGTCACCCTGGTGTAAGGTTAAGGCGTAAGATAATAGTGCACGTAACTAACCAACCTGCTTGTCTAGTAGCCCGTGTGTGCTCATCTCACCTGCGTGTCCCCTGCTGACCCATCCTGTTCTGGGGTTTAGTATTTTCTAACCATGTGAACTTCAGGAACAAATATTCTGGATACAATTTTTTTTTTTTTTTACCCAGCAGTGCTGAAACTATTTATTTTTGGATCCTTGGCTTTCGACAATAGTCTAGTAGAGTACTTCCTGAGGTATTTTGCTCTGTTTGATGTTAAAACCTGCTGATTTGCCTCTGACAGATGAGGATTACTACGAAGATGATGAAGAGGACGATCCAGATGCATTAAAGGACCCTCTTTACCAAATAGATCTCCAGGTGATGCTCTAGAATGAGTTGGGGTGGTTTTTAAATCAGATTCGTATCTTTCTTTATAAACTTACGTTTTTGTATGTTGTACTTTAACAAAACTGTAAAATGCTGGAAACCCCAGTTACCGATGGCTGTCCCGAGGGTGCTTTGGAAAGTGCTGAGTACCCCAAGGATGCCTGAAGCTGTTTTTCCTTATCGGGTCAATAGCTATAACTTGGAAATGTGAATGAACAAAACTTTTTGAACAGGCAGAGATGAGACTTTTCTACCCATGAGCTTCACAGCTATTTGCTGACGTCAGGAGTAGATTGGAAACTGAACGTGACAGTATTTCGTACTCCACTTGGAGATGGTCCCATCCAGTCAGTCCCTGTATGATACTTTGCTCCTGCCTTTTACCACCACCCGGCAGCCGTTTATTGGCCCTTCCCCTCTGCTGCCACCCTTCCTGTCTGTTCCCTGCCATCCCTTTGTCTTACTGGGTGCATGTGGAGCTTTATCTTTTGATACATGAAAGGAACGGAACTTCCAAAGCGACGTGATGCTGACTGCCTCTTTCTGTCTTCCTTTCAGGCCTATCTCACTGACTTCCTCTGTCAGTTTGCGCAGCAGCCCTGCTATGCAATGTTTTCAGACCATCTCAATGAGAATGAAAAGCGAGTGTTACAGGCCATTGGTATCTAAACCCACCCGAGAGACCACACCAATCATATCTGAACAATTTTTTTTTTTGGCTTATTCCACGTTTTATGATTAAACATAAAACATTTTCCAGTGTCTGCCTGCTTGTTACAGGTGGATGACGGCTTCGTTGCGATGTATCGAGCCTCATCTTAACACGAATCTGCTAAGGGAAGGAATACTAAGAAAGCAGCAAGGACAGAAGTCAGTAGAGCTTTGCACATTGGTCTCACCATGGGAGCACTTTCATTTTCCACAGTAACTTTCCAGGAGGTTCTTAAAGATAAAAAAGATGTGTCCTTAATATTTTTAAAAGCAAACTGTCTCTACCTGTGAGTTTCCCTCAGCACAGTTGGACAGAGAAAGGAATTGGGTCACTTACAGATTGCTTGGATGTATCTTGAGAAATTGGAAGGTTGTTCCTCTTCGCGCTTGCATAACACATACAGGGTAAATATCTTGGTCTTACAGCGTGACTTCTTTTTATAGAACTACAGACTCTTATCAGAGATGCCTGAATGGTGTGGAACCTGTTCACAGGTGTTTGGATGGGAAGCTGAGACAATAAAACCGAGTGCATATCTTCTTTCCTGTTGTGGATGGGGCTTCGTTGCTCACATCTGCTGTCCAGCCTCATGGGAGCAGGTCTTTACTAATGCTTTTGTGTGCACATGCTCAAAGGAAGCTACCACTTAAATTTCTGTTCCTGTGGCGTGTGGCTACTAAAGACTTTGGTTTTATGGAACACGAGGAGCCACAATTTTTAGGGGAAAAAAAACCTGATTGTATTTAACATATTTGCTCCATGACAGCCACTCTGAACTACTTTGCTTCCTTCACACTCCTGTGTGTATTTTTATAGAGTGGTAAAATAACATTTGCAAACCAAGTTACCCGTAAGAACAGCGTGATGTATCTCACAACACCTCTCTGCCTTTGGTTTCCCCTCGGGGAAAATGAAAATAAAACTATTAAAATGTACATTGGTATCCTTCTTATAAAACAGATTGAAAAGGAACTTGCACTTGTTTCCTGAAGTCACTTTTTAAAGACGTATTTCTGCTTGGGAAACTTTCTGTGTGTGCAGCCCAGAGGATGTTAGGGTATTTCACAGGAGTCATCTGGACAGAAAGGGAGTCCTGTAATGGATACATCTTCTTCTGCTTCAAAGAAAAGGCTGACCCATTATAGAGTTTCCTTTCTTAAGAAAGGTACTTGCTGTTCCTTTGTGGAATAATATGTTTCGAAGTTGTATCTAAAAACCTCCAAAAAGCTGGAGTAACTCTGTATCTTACTGGTCTATTGGAGTATAGCTTTTCACTTTTTTACCGGGAGGTGATAAAAAATTAACTTTCTAGCAGACAAAGGTGGCACAATTTGTTTAGCATGTGTGGGAGAAATGGTAAAACCCCCTGAATTCTGAAGCAGACCTCGCTCCCCTCTCCCACCCCAGCCCCTCACCTTGTGCCTGAGAATGGGCAGAACTAGGGGGGAATCCCCGCCGTTCACTGCAGACTGATCTGAACTATCCTTGGGTTCTCAGTGGTTTTGTATGAATAGCTCTGTGAGAAGCAGAAGCTGAAGCCTGATCTGTCTGTGTGTGTGTGTGTCTGATGAGGTATAAGCTCTGATCAAAAGTTTCTGTGCAGTTGTGTCACGGTATCTTTCTTCCCTGTGGATTCTCTGGTGTGTAAGAACATCTAATTAAACTTGGTGCTGTGATATTCCCTTCAGTGGGAACATCGTGGTTCCATCTTCTACCTAGACATGATTTTTTATATATATTTTTTAAAGTCTATTAGGAATTTTGTTTTGAGGCATATGTCTCTCACCTTTCACTGGAAAGGGCCAACAAGTTAAACTAAACAGTGCAGTCTCTTGAGGAAACCCAACTAGAAGGTGGCTGCAGTGGTGTCTCCTGATAGCTGTACAGGAAAGAGCAAGTGAGTGTCCTCAGAGCAAGCAGTGCCAGCCCTGGGAAGAGGTAGGACCATCTTTTTCCTGCCCCATGCGTTGGCAGCTCAAAACCAGTCGTCCATTCTTGGAGGTAAGTGAATACCAAACATCTGGAAGCATCTGGGTGAGTTTTAGGGTGTCAGCAGTAATCGAAGCGTGTTCAGGTCTGGTTAGCCAGGGCTCGTGGGGAGGTGCTGGTGGGGTTCGTGTGCTTTCTGGCGGGAGCTGACTGCTGCGTGCCTTAGTGGTGCTTGCTTAGGTAAGTCGGATGGTGGATTTAAACCAGACCAGGAAAAATGAGACCAACCTAGCACTGCTGATCCTGTTCCTCATCCTGCACTGAGAAATCCAAGGATTTCTTGGCAATTGCAAGGTCCAAAAAGTAGATGGGCCAGTGTCTTGTAGCATTCCTGTTGGAGCCCATCAGCGTGTTGGTTAGAAAGTGCTGTGATTTGCAGGGATCAGTGGTTTTTTCCAGGAGTGCAGCTGGTTTGAAGGGAAAGACTGGGGAATAAGTGGCTTTTAGGAACTAGTGCTGTGCACTCTCCCACCTGCAGCATCCGCTCGGGTGCAGCCTGACTTGGCCGGGCACAATGCTGCTGCACAGGAGCTGGAGCCTGGGACCTGGAGCTGCTTCTGTCCCGTCTGTGCGTGGTGGGCACTGGCACACCATGGGTGTTCAGCAGCTCTATTGCAAGCAACCTCATGCTGTGCAGGATGCTTTTTGCCAAGAAATACCATGACTCAAGCTTCCCCTAGAAAGAAGCCAAATAGGATGTGAGTGTGACAGTGTGCAAGGGGAGGTGGTTTGAAGGACCTCTGTGTGGTCCTAGGGGTGCTCACACTGACGCCGCTCCTTTGCTGTTCTGCTTTCCCGCTGTCCTTCTTCCTAACAAAGTTCTGACTGCTCCATGATGTGTCTTTAAACAGGAATTGTGTCTGCTGGAGGGGTGTCAGCTTTGCTGAAACAACTCTGCAGTAACAAGGTGATTGCTTGGGCTGAAAAAGGCTGGACTGTGCGATGATGTGCCTAAGGTCTGGGCGCAAGGTGCAGAGCACCCCTCTTACGTGTTGTCTGCTGTTTAGAAGAAATTAAACTAATAGTCCTGAAGGTTACTAGCGCCCCAATAGGAAACACAAGCTCCCTCTTCACCTGCAGTGAGTGAAGCCGAAGGGGGGGAGGCAGGCTACCGCACCGCCCTGGGCACAAG